CAACGGTATTAATCAAACTACTGTGGCTGTAGTATTCTAAGAATCCAAAGACCTACCTAATTTTAGAGACTGTAAATCAACTGTCAGGGCTGTCTGGTTTCAAATTATGCCTTGTTCTCCAGAAACCTGTAAATGCAGAGGTACCCCTGACTCCATGGTTAGTTATTAAGAGATATGCCCCAGGTGGAGGCATCTTCAAAGCCAATATATTTTCTCTATAACTGGTGTCAAATTGATGTATATATTAAAAAATCTTGGAAAATGATCTCAAAAAGGAAGTAACAGCCCAATGAGCCATATGTTCAGGGAACCTAACAGGTTTCCATTGGGACCAAATTTCACTTCACCTTTTTGTCCTTATGTGCAAATATAAACTTATCTGTAAAAACACCATTAAAACAGTCATGCAAATTGGTGTGGTCTATAGACTGAGAAAAATTCCATTAGGTCCATAAAAGCCAAGTGGGTGGAAAGTAAGTAATTTTGTTAGACATTAGAAGTACATAACAACCAAAATTTAGTTTATTTGAATTTGATTGCCTCAAATATATTGCTTCTTTAAAACTAGCTAATGAAGCAAAGGCTGATGAATAGTTAATAAATAGCTTAATTTTGAAGTTGATGGAGCAAGTAAATCTCAAGTTTACGTTAATAAATGTAAATTTTTTTTCTTGCTGTCTGATAGGTTGCTATTTAAACAGATTCAGACACCAGGGAATTTTTCAAATGCCAGCTAATGCTCTAACACTGAAAGGTCTGTGATGTGTTAAGGACAGAGGCCTGGTTAGTGGCTTTCCAAAGTAGAAATCAGAAAGTATTAACATTTAATTGACACAAAATACATTATGTAATCCTTTTAAGAACCTTTAATTCAAAAGCCTTTCAACATTTTGTATTATCTTTGTAGATCCTAATAATCTTCAATTCAGCTACTTTATGGGTATGCTTGGACATATTCTAAAGGGAAAATGATTTACTCTATTTGTATAGTTTTTCATGACTACGAATAATGGCAATATAAAAATACCAAAATCTACTTGTCATTTTCATTTTATGTACCTTTTATTAAGTAGGGCAGAGACAATAATATAGATGAAAGACATCTGCATGTATGACTTAGTTTTATCAAGCCTTTACATTTTGATTTTGATTTTGAAAAACTGTGTGTGTGTGTGTGTGTGCGTGTGTGTGTGTGTGTGTGTGTGTGTGAAGGTATGCAAAGGTAGGGGTTAATAGAAAAAAGTATTGCATAGATTATCTTTCAGGTACTTTGCTTCCATCCATGGTTAGGAGTAAGTCATGTTAATTTTGCCGCCTGGTTAGCTAACTAGCAAGGGACGAATTAGGAAAAAATACGGCAGCTCTTCATAGGTTCAATTAAACCTAAAGTCACAAGAATGCCAACTTAAAAAAATGCTAAGGGTAGTTTCTGCAATGGTAAAAAAAAATATATATATATATATATATATATATATTCTAGTGGTAGGAATAAAAGTATGCTTGCAGCTCGACAACCAGCTGTAAAGTGAAAAAGTGGGGGGTAGGGTGGGAAGGTGGTTGGAAACCTCGGGTTCCTGGCCTGCCTCAACAGGTATGGAAGACCTTTCTCAGTGTAGACGCAGGTTCGAAGGGGCTTGGTATCCAGCTTCTCTCAGGCCAGTGTGTGGAGCAGAGCCAGGCAGGAGGTGGGGAGCCCCCGTGGGGGCAGCCAGGGGGTCTCTCCGGGCTCTGCAGCCAGGGTAGTAGTGCGGCCCGCTTCTTCATAGGCTTTGCCTCTCAGGCGACTTAGTGTCCTGATGTGTCTGGTGTCCAGCGGCCTTTCTTTACCCTAGTCTGGGGGTCAGCGGGTCGGGCCTGGCCGCACACCACGTACACGTTTTTCTTTGCGCAGGGGGAGGTGCAGGGGTCTGGGGGGGTCTCAGTTTAGGAGGCTTTGCAGGAGGTGGTCCGGGTAGGGGCGCGGCCGCGGGGCCAGGGCGTGGAGTGGCCCGAGGCCTTTCGGGTGGCCGTGGGGAGGGGCGCCGTCCGTGGTCGGTGCACCAGCCTCGTGGCTCCGACCTCTGCCCGTCCTTCGACCCTCTGAATTCTCTACTCTACCCGAGGCGTTCGGCCTCCAACAGAAAGTGGAGGCTCCGGGCCTCTTAGGCGTGGGGCTGTGCTCCGGGCCCCGGCCCCGGGGAGTCGG